CTCTTTCTCTTTCTTGGTCTTGTGATCGTTCTCTACTTGTGTTCTCGTCATGTTCTCTAACATAAAAGCTTATGCGCACTACGTGAAAGATTCAACTTATAAAGTGAAGACACTAAATAAAGCGTTTACTACATAAACTAGCACTTGCTTTTCAAATTCGTTATAATGGGCAATAAAAATACAAAACCGAATGAAGCCACTAATATCTGTCTGACTCAATCATTAGTCATAATTCTCAGAATTTATTTTATTTTTATAGTAGCCACCGATCCTGAAGACGCATCTATAGCATGGACAACGTTGTCGTCGGCTCCAGAACAGGTGTCATTGGATGGGAATGAATATCGACTGGAAACTCATATATGGCGCGATTTTATGCCGATTTGTGAGGAATCTGGTCGTCCGATGATAGCCATATTGCGTATCAAAACCGTCGACTCAAGTCCATTTCCATCAGATGTCAAGGTCGATATAGCATGGATCATGTTTGGTAACGACAATCAAGCTCAAATTTGGGAGACACATGTTATAGAAGAGCAACCACGACAATCTGACATCAATCATAATTATATCAGAGTCACTGCTCGAAATGGCCCTAAATGGGGACCGAACGTAAATGTAGACGTTGTTGTGCAACTGAGTAATTCCAAGGAACAAGCTGTTCTACTACAGGCTAAGCGTCAGAAAATTTCTCGCACAGATTAATCGTTCGTAAATGTTCTAAATTTGATTGCGTTTAACGATACTTCTCTCCCTCTTTTATTTTGCCTATTTCTAGTACTCGAAGGGGTACAACAAGTATGCAGGAAATTTTCATCACACCTAGGACACCTAAAATAAGGAGATACGTGCTTCAACAAAAAATTTTAAACAAACCTTTTTCAGTAAAATTTTGGTTTTGTATAGAATCACATCGGTCATCCTTACGACCCTCGTCTAACTTTGCCCAATCGGGTTGAAAATCTTTTCTTTTATGAGGGAAATACATAAAGATTCAGATACAAAACCGGAATGCTGGTGGTTCAGGGCTCTATAACTCCTGATAGGAAGACCAAAAACGAAAATAGGCAATTTCATCTCTGGATAATACTTCCAAGCGTCTGTGATCAAAATTCCAGTCCGATCGGACAAATTAAGCCCAGAGTTGTAAGCAAAACTCGATGGTTTTTAAAGATTCCTTCAAAAATCCATAAAGATCTGCTTGCAAAATTTCTTCTTCAAATACGGTTCCCATCATTTTCGATAGTCTAGGCTGTGACAAAAATATGAGCCCTATCGTTTGTACTCTCGCCGAGAACCAGAAGTAGTCCAAGAGAGGAGATACTCTTAAGTGAAGGCAGAGAATCTTCAATGGACCGTCTCCGGTTTTTTTTAGTTTTTTCGATTCATATACGTGATAGAAATAAAGAATCATTTCGATAGTGTGGGTGTGGATGTGGGTATAAGCCTTCTCTTTGGTAATCTCCATACCCACATGCTCATATTAACTAACGATGATGATCAACAGCTCCGAAAACTTGCTGAATGCTTTAGAGAAGAGACAGATAACGCGACCAGATGGCATAGAATGGGTAAAGTGCTTCTACAAATGACTTACTTCGATCTAGCTAAAGATATCTACGAAAAACTAGCAATATCACTTCTATATATAAGAATATGAAAAACTATTCAAAAGCACTCCAATAATATAAAAAGGCGATTGATATTTATTAAAATTCACTTGATTCAAACTATCCAGATATGACCAGTACTTACAATTGCATGGGTATTGCGCATCATCAACCAAAAGACTACTTGAAAGCACTCGAGTTCTATGAAACAACACTCGAAATTCGACTACAATATCTTTCTTCGAACCATCCTAGTCTTGCTGCTTCTTAGTACAATATCGGATCTCTTTACAAAAGTATAGGTGATCGTTCAAAAGCACGCATGTTTTGTGAAAAAGCTGAGTCTATGGGACAAAACTATCTGTAGAAAAATAATCATCGGATTCAGATCAATCAAGACAAATTATCTACCACGAAAAACTAATCCTGATGCGTTTGGATTTGATATTTTTAGTTGAAATGAAATGTACATAATTCATATCTCATATTAAACGAACATGACGACAAGTACTTCATAAGTGAACACATTCGTTCATGAAAAAGCACGCATTGATTTGATTTGAAATCATGCTATGACTAACTGTCGACATTGTTTGTTAGAAGCAATCGAGCAATAAATTCAATGCGAATATGTCGGAGGTCAACTCGAGAATAATTTGTTAGATTGATCCGTGTATGATAATCGGAAGTACACAAAAAATGACGGTAGACGATTTTGAGAAAAATTTTGAGTATATCAGTTATCTTCCGATAGCGATAGATCATGAGAAGGAGTTCATTATAGAGATCCTCAAAAAGAGATATTTGTTTGTCTGTTAATTGTTCATAAATTTGTCTTTTGTGTTCTATGCAACACAAAGTAATTTACACTGGAGACTGTCAGGCATTTTTTAAATGTATTTAACGTTAAATCAAGGCTAGTAAAATGGTAAACGACTATGGTCAAACTGTTTTTGGTCTTCAATATTTTATAAACACATAATTTAGGTGGAGTCTGAATATCTGTCTGTTCTTTAGCCTCACACATGCCCACACTCACATCCATCGATGAAGTCGATTTCGCCATGTGGAATTCGATCACGATGATCAATCAATTTGATGGATAGCTCTTGTCGACTGTAATATATCTATCGATGCTCAATCGAAGTTTCAAACCAAAATCTCAATAAAAAAATAACGTTTCGATTTACATTTTTCACGATTATTTGGGTGTTGATCTTTACGATCGTCGATCGATTAATAATGAATGCGAGAATAAATTTGTATAGATGTCAACTATGAAAAGTATAAAATCTTTTCCTTCTTTCGACTGTGTGCCCAGTTATCCAAAGTTGCCCCTTCGCTCGATCTAATGCTACCCGCGTGATAGCCTGCTATAACTGTGTGAGTATAATAAAAGAATTTTCCGACTTATTGACCTATATTCGCTGTGAAGATTTATGGAATCATTTCCGACTACATTATTCATATTTTGTTGCTGGTGCTGCAAACTTGCTATTGACTATCTTTTCTACAGCATATTCCAATGAGCCAAAAAATTTGGGATCAGTGGTGCATTTGATGGTCTATCCAATGCCATGCGAAAATGAAAAAGATTGTTAGAAATATCCTGTATACTAGCGTCATCTTTCATACTCTCATGTAGGCTCTCTTACACAGCCTACATTTGATCTAGCTATGGACCAATTATAAAAAAACACAAATAATAAAGAATCAAAATAAATCTAAAGAAAGACTAACAATTCATGATGATGTCAAACAAGTTACTCTTAATCTTAACATCGAAAAATCATTTACTGATAAAACAACTAATAATGGATCAATGCGAATCGATAGGAGACAATAATATTTGATAACAGCATTAAACAGAGTATATCTGCTTCTAGCATTGATGATTCATTTGATGATAAAACAAATAATAAAGTTTTAACGTCAGAAAATAATAAGAAAACAACAATTGATAATAGTTTTCAACAAATCACTCATGATCTTAATATTGATAGTTCATTTGATGATAAAATAAATCACAATAATTTATTATCCACAAATAACAAGACAAATACAATTGATAGTAGCATTGAACATTTTACAATTGATCTAAATATTGATACATCATTTAATGATAGAATAAACAATAATGAATCAATACAAATCAATAATAAAACGATAACATTCCATTATGATATTAAACAAGGTCCACATGTTCTTAATTTTGATAATTCATTTAATGAAAAAACGAACAATGATACGTTAATTTCTACAAATAAAAAAAATTGCAATTAATAATGGCACTAAAAAAGTTACTGCATATCTTACTATTGACAAATTATTTAACAATAAAGATAATGATGAACTAAATAACACAGCAACAGAAAATATAAGTATGGTGAAAAGTTGATAAATATAAAGTAATATGTAGTATGGATGAACGTAATGTAGACCATTCATTAGATAATACTCCACAGTGTACAACAACAGAATATGTATTCATCCCAGGCACATATGTAATTGATTTCAAAATAACAGATGATGTAATAGTAAACAATACTAGATCACGTACAAAAGGTAAATCACCTATTACAAGTTTATATAAAAATGATAAAATGAACAAGAATAAACTTAATAAGTTTAATGCGAATAAGTCTGAAGAAACAACAAACAAGGCTTAATGAAACCTTCATCAATACACTTACTTCAAGAGATAAACAACATCCAACAATTAAACATATGAGGGAACAATCAAATAATGATAATATAGATGAAATAAAGGTGTTCATATCAAATTAATCATTAAATAATGGATTAAACGCTAAAGAAACATTAAATATCATGAATAATTATATCGAAAGTAACAGTGATACGAGTGATGCATTAAAAGCATTACATGCAAGATATCAATTTATTAATAATGATCTTGATTATAATCGATTTCTTCGCAATAATAATAGTTTGTTGAATAATGAATGGATCAATATTCTTGCAAGTAATACGATAGCCAACAATAATGGTATTAATGTTGTAAGTAAAAATGATTCAAATGATGATGATGATGTAACAAATACATTAATTATAGTAATACATATTCAAGTCTTTTATCAAAGAGACGTGCTAATCGACTAAGAAAGAAAATTACTTATCAAGAATTTAACTTCTACATATGGACCAACTATTAGTATTATAAATGAAACAACAGAACTAAAAGAAAATAAACAGAATATGTGCAAGAATGAAGAAAAAGAAAGAAAAACTAGAACTAGTTCTGTTTTATTCCAACATCATATAGATATTAAAGATGAAATTGATTGGTTATACAGTAAGATCATTTGAAAAGACAAAAATGTAAAGAAATTACATATTCAGAAATTATTGATAATCAAGACATATGAACCGAACTTAAACAGAATAATTCATTCGACCCCACTATATATTTTCTTGTGGCTTTTCTTTCTTTACGTCATTCTTCCTCTATTGTTCTTTCCTTCTTCTACTATATTTTATTACTAAAATCCTTCTCTATAACATTCCTTTACTACTGAATGTTTTAAGATTTAATACTTACCAGAATTAATAGGTGTTCTCTCTACAATTTTATAATGTAAACCAATATACTTTAACTTAAAAGTTATATTTGTACTTTGTTGTAATTCGTGAGAATGGCAAGTTAATTAGTCGAAACGTCGAAAATAAATTACTATTCGAATAAATAAAATTTAACCTTTTAGTCTTAATGATTAAGAATGATCGTTAAAGCCACTATTATTTCTATTTATTTACTTAAATTACTACCCTTAATAATTTTTAATTTCTTTCGTGTCATAATCTATGATTATGCAACACAATTATCAGCTGATAAACAAACTCTTTATAATGACATCCGACACCGTATTGATCTCGGTTTGGGTAGTCTCAATCTACCGCCCATCGATAATTTAATCATTCGTTATGACACTCTCTTTTCTGTTTCGTCCGAATCAGAAGATCGAGTTCATATATTACAATTTTCATTTGAAATAATTTAAAGAAGACAATGGCTTTTTTCGGCTCTGTTTTTGGGTGCAAAAATTTTCACAACCACCGCTTTGGTCCATGTCGCTTATTTTCTAGCTCGGTTGCTTGTACAAAAAGATCTATCCCATTATGTCAGTCAAATACCAGTGTCCTTGTCGAGTATCAACACAACTGTCAATAGACGAATTTATGGGTTTTAGAGTTGATAATGGATGTGATGAACGAAAATCCAGAAGTGAAATATGTGTATATCACAAGAATGCTAGAGGGTGTTATCGAAAAAGATCGGAAACAAGTTGGTTCGATGCTCAATGTTGTTATAATGAACCAGACCAATTCATCGAACACATTTAAGAAGGTGCAGGAATACTCAATGTGGTATCACCAGATGAAAACGGATGCATTGAAAGCCGTTTGAGTTTCTTTGGACATTTCTTTGTCGATTTTCTTTCCTGTTGGTCTTGTTATGAAAGTATTTTGGCGAATGAAAAACTATGTAAAGCCTACTACAAATATCGACCAACTGGTCGCTGTAAAGACATTGGATCGCTATCAACTGGAAGACATGTAGATCCTACTTTACAAGTTAGAGCTTTTTTATATAATCAAATTGATCTTAATAAATTGTTTAGAGATGATACAAGAACAATAACACACGAAGAAATTTTATCAGTTAAAGAATATTTGACCATCAATCGACCATTAACTGAATTTAATGAATCTGCTTTATTAGATCTTAATCCTATCCTTCTGTAATCAATATTTTTCTATTTTTTTTAATTAAAAATATCATGTGATTTATAATATTTTATTTTAGATCAATAAGGTTTGCCACTCTGACAAGTCATTTTATTGTTGTACCTAATTGGTCTATTGTTCAAGAGAATGGTGGAATTACTTCGTGGTTGATGTTATGATCATATTATCGATGAAGCAATATCTACTTTTCATGTTATCACTTTCGACTTTCGTAGTCATGGTCGACCACAACAACATTCTTCTCCTTATAAAAATCAATGGTTTGGTGGAGATATTTTTCATTTTATAGAATTATTCGATTTTCCTAAAAATAAATTTATTGGTATTGGCCATTTCTTGGGTGGACATGCATTAGTGTTTGCTGCTACAATAGCATCAAGACGATTATTTCAATCACTACTCTCACCTTCATCATGTTATGAAATTACAAAGAATAAACTTGAATCTATTCTACGTTGAAAAAGCCAATAGTTATCCATTGAGAAGTATCAGTCGATATGACAGGTTCACAAGGCGATTCAAATATCTATTCAATAATTAAAGACTCAAAATTTATTAACAAGATTCCAAATGATATTGTTTGGACATCCAGAATCATCATCTACACCATTTAATCTCTTGTTAAATGGGCTAAAAAATAGACGAGATATGCAATTAAAAGATGCGATGGAACAACCTGAAATTGTGATCCATTTTGTAAATAAAATAATAACCTATATTCTCATCTGTAATATTTGATATTTAATCATTTCAAACAAATGGTTGAAGACTTGTTCGATAATTTCAATAAGTCAAATACAAACATCGCAATATCATTGAAAGTTTTATTAGTCTACTAACGAAATGCTTTACTAAAATATTGCCGATGAATAAACAAGTTAATTAATTGGTGAATAAACAATAAAAATTCTTCCACACATAGCTATATTTCGGTTGAATTTAAAAGGCAAAAGATCACTCTATAGTATAAATGAATGTATTTTTTTGCTTTTTTCAATATTTTTGCATCATTTTTTGTAAAAAAATATTTGAATTCCAAACAACTTTGTATTTTTTTTTAGATAGGATGCTTTTTACAATTGGTCGTATCTTTCGACGAATGATGTCGTCTACTCCTACTAGTCATTTTATTACTTTATCTAATCGTCCTATTGTTCAAGAAAATGGTGAAATTAGTCAAGGGAGACTTAAACTTCATTATTGGGAATGGAAAGGTCATCAACCAACAATACTTGTTTGTCATGGCGCTGCACTCCATAGTCGATGCTATGATCGTATTATCAATGAAGCATTATCTGGTTTTCATGTTATCTCTCTTGACTTTCGTGGTCATGGTCAATCACAAAAACATCCTCTTCCATATCCGTTTCCATGGTTTGGTGGAGATCTTTTACAATTTATCGAAATGCTTGACCTATCTAAAAACGACCTTCTTGGTATTGGCCATTCCTTAGGTGGACATGCATTAATATTAGCTGCTGCGTTAGCACCTAGACAACTTTTTCGATCGTTACTTTTACTTGATCCTGGTATATATTCTTCGTACATCTATGAAGTAGGAGTTAAAAACATAGAGAAATTTGTAAGACTTGCTCAACAGAAAAATCAATGGTTGTCTGTAGAAGATATGATATCAAAAATGGACAAACCTGAACGACTTGGTTATTGGCCAAAAGATGTTCTTCGTAATTATTGTACATATGCTATTGATGAGAATTTTAAACTTCAATGTACATCTGAACGAGCGTGGCATCTTTATCTAACAAGTGTCCAATCTGACTCAAATATTTATCAAACCATTAAAGATTCAAAATTTATCCATAATATTCCAATTCATGTTGTTAGAGCATCAAAATCTGTAACAACTAATAATATTCCAATTCCACCAACGGCAATTGATCTTGCCACGTGGTTCAAAAAAGGACGAGATACACAATTAAACGAGAGAAATCATTCATTTCCAATGGAACAACCTGAAATTATGATTAATTTTGTGAAAGAGATGATCGAAGAATATAAAAATCTACGTTCTCATCTCTAAATATGCTCATTTAGTCTTTCATATTAGTTCTGTTTTATAAATATTGATTAAAAATGATTGAAAAAAAAAGTCTTTTTGTTAATTAGTGAATGACAAAAGAATCAACTTGAAAACAATCCCAACTAAATATTTATTCATCTCGATCACCAACTTTGAGATTTGAAAAGTTAATCATCCCTTTGAAAAGATCAAAGGTATGAATATATCGGTTCACTAGTGAAACAAAGTTCTTGTATATGTTCTCTAAATATTGAATGAAAATCTTCCGAAAGACATCTATCAACTAATTGAGTAACGATCACGTATCGGTTGAATATAAAAAGCAAACAATTTTCTTTTTAAATAATACACTTTTTGTTCCATCTCTCGTGTCTTTTGACGAATGGTGTCTTCTTCTGCAACCAGTCATTTTATTACTTTACCCAATCGGTCCATCCTCCAAGAGAATGGTGAAAGTATTGAAGATGCTTTTCAACTTCATTATTGAGAATGAAAAAGACATAAACCAACAATACTCATTTATTATAGTGCGTCTTTCGTAATAAATGTTATGATCGTATTATCAACGAAGCATTACGTGATTTTCATGTTATTATTCTGGACTTCTGTGGTCATAATCAATCACAAAAACATCCTTTTCCATATCCCTTTCCATGATTTGGTAAAGATGTTTTTCATTTTATCGAATTGCTTAATCTATCTAAAAGTAATCTTCTTGGTATTGACCATTCATTAATATTAGCTACTGCAATAACACCTAGACAACTTTTCTGATTATTACTTTTATTCATTGACGATCTACTGTAACGACGACTCGGAATCTTTCATATTTCGACTGATTAGTCATTCGATTCGTCGATTAAATGTGCTGGAACTGGAACGAGCTCGCGTCGAAGATCGAGTCCTTATCTTTGAGCTCATTCAGGCTATGCTCGCTCTTCGATCCTTGACGTGTCTTTGCCAAGATCACAGTTGGAACGCAAAGCGAACATCGTCAGTTCGATCAGAATCAGATGAACTAGTAGATTGACTGCGAGCTCATTTGCCATCGACATATTTGATTCGTCAAGATTCAGAACAAACCGATGCAATTGAAATGTGGTTTAGTAGTTAATTGAGTCGAACGTTTCCAACAATGGTTTCCTGTAGAAGCGTTGTGATTTTCGAGATGAGATCATTCTACACACCTAATTGAAACTTGTGTGAGGGTGTGGGTGTTGGTGAAGAGAAAACCCATACTCATACTCATACCCATGCCCTCATTTCATGCTATGTGTAGTTGAAAAGGACAAAATCTTTTTTTCTTTTATTCAATTTATATAAAATACAAGAAAAAGTTTTTTTGTTGTAGCATCAAATTGAAAATACAGAAAAAAAAAGTCAAAAAATTTTGTTTTTTTTTCATCCATCTATTGAACACATAAAAGAATATAAGTTGAAAAAAATAAATACTAAACTAACGTATTTCAATGTGCTCCATCTGTTTAAGACTTAACCCGTTTTTAGATAAATGCAAGCAATAAGAACGAAATAAAGATAAAATATAATACTGACCAGAAGTAAAGCAAAAATATGTTTATATCATATAATGGCAGCTTTACAACAACATTGGAAAAATTTAAGTGTTTCATTAGCTGATGCTATATTAACTATCTCTATGAATAGACCTAAAGTTAATGCATTATCTATTGGATTGCTCAATGATCTTGATCAAGCTTTTGATTATGCTTCAAAAAATGATCATATTAAAGGTGTTCATCTACGTTCTAATTTTAGGTATTCATCACTAAAACAAAATATATCTATCATAAAAATTGATTTTTTATTTAGTTCAACATTTTCTGCTGGTGTTGATCTTTCTGATATGCATGAACGATGTGCTAAACATCATCGACCAACAATTGATAAATTTGTCTTCGATACAATTAGTCGTGGTGCAACAGCACCTCTTCGTTGTTCAAAACCAGTAGCTTGTTCACTTGATGGTCATGCTATTGCTGCTGGTGTTGTACTTGCTCTTGCATGTGATTATATTGCTATAGGTACACGAAAAACATTTCGCATTGGTGTTACAGAATCAGCTGTTGGTGTACCATTTCCTACAATACCACTTGAAATTATACGACATCAACTGGAACCGCAACTTGCTCATCGATTAATATTTGATGCAAATATTATATCATCCAATGATTTTTCGATTCGATGTGAAAGAAGTGAAATCCCAGATGATTTATCACGAAAATGGTTAAAAATGATATGTGAAAGACCATTAAAAGGTTTTCAAATAACGAAAGAAAAATGGTGGTCAGATATAATTAAATTAATTTCTATTGATAATGAGCAAGAAAAAAAAGAATATTTTGATACAATAACTGGTGAAGATTGTCTACAAGCTATGAAACAAACACTTACAAAATAAATAGAATTTTTTTTCCTTATATCTAAAATTATTTAGGAGAAAGAAGAATTTCTTAAATATTAATCTATTAATTTCATTTTTTTTTTGCTTGAAATTAATTATAAAAATCAAGTTATTGATGTTGATTTTGTTTATATAAGCTCTATCTGTCTATGAATATTTTCGTTTGTTATTTGGTAGAAGCAATTAAAACACAATGTCAAGAAATAAACTAAAGCACTGTTGTTAGAAAATACCTCAGAGTAGCAACAAATAAATACATTTAGAAAAGACTAATATTGATTTCTTTTGTCCAATTATAGATTCTATCTACAATCTACTTTTTTTTTCCTAGGTATATTCATCAGTCGATTAAACACATGTCATTGTAACTATAACATTTTAACAGAATGTTATATGAAGGGAGACTACTTGGAAATAACATGATCAGTTGGCGAAAGGAAGGGGTTCCGAAAATGTAACTAACTATCACAGAAGCCAGGGGGGGGGGGGGTATTAGATGTTTTTTCACGATATTCTCGAAAACTTAAATAAGTAGTACCATAAGAGATATTGCAAATATAGATATTAGAGTGTACGTTGTCGTGTGTGTTCGTCTTGAATAATTAGAATAAAAACTCATTTTCGTATTGCAGAATATTCATAAAAAAATCGCTTGAGCTCTCAATCAAGAATCCACTCAACCAGTTTCGATTTCTATCTCCAGGTGCTTATGTGACATTGTTTTCCCATGATACAAACAATTCACATATAAGGTATCATTCTCACACTGTCGATCGCCGAATTCGATTCATCCTCCCTGCTATGACTTAGATGTTTGTCTCACTCTAAATATGAATTACACTAAAGCAAGCCAATCAGAGTTCGGAAGATCTGAAACATTTTTCTGGTAGTGAAAATTAGAAAAATATATGACTTCCAAATTAAAATAGTTGACGACAAGAAAAATTCAATGATGAAACGCACATTTCAATCGAATGTTGTTCCATGAATTTGATG